TACTTCCAAAACAAGCATGGTTTCCTGTGCAATCTTTTACAGTTCTTTTAGATTTTCTTTTCTGGTAATACTTCACATACCTGCACTAGGCATCTGTCCTGGTTATACCGATATCCTCATTGACATTTCTTTTACTCCATATAGAAGATCTATACTGTAATAAAAGCTAGAAATATGAGGGCTTTCATCGTCAGGTAAAAAAAAACTATTTGGAGAATTCCTTTTATTTATTAAGGTGTTTTGTTGATCAGATTCCATTTACGTAAATGATCTGGAAAAGCATGAGACCTTATTTTAATAGCGTAACATAACATTATAATGTCATTGTCAAAATAAAAAGGAGAAATAATACTATGACAAAGAGTATGTATTTAATGATAGTAGAATCAGTAACAGAATTGCTAGTTTATTATTGATGTTAAAGAAAATGAGAGTGGTGGGTCAGAGCAGAGTCTTAGGAGAAGGGAGCCAGCATCACTAAGTGCCTTGTATTAGGAATTACATCTGTTACAAGAAATTGGAGGACAAGAGGCAAATTTTCATTCACTGAAAGAATTTTGAAATCCAGAATTGAAAACCAGTCTTCTCATCTATAAGAGTCTTTCACTGAAATCTTAGGACCAGTAGCCTACAATGGCTGTTCTGGAGGATAAAGGAGTCCTGTAGCATCAAAAAAAATCAAAATCTCATGGATTATTTAGGGATAGGTAGAGTGTATCTCTTGGCCATTTAATCCTGTGATGATAGATTTTTCCCCACCTGGTTGACCTGTTTGGTAATAATTTCACTTGGTTATTTACTTCAGACAATATACAAAATGTCCCTACATTGCTCCCTTATCCAGCCTTCTTTGTATTCCCTTTCCTAATAATCTCACTCAACAGATGATCAAGACTTTCTATTGATTCTTAGAGCTGATTCAGAGCAAGTGATTGATGAGAGGTACCTCGTTCCAAGGACAAATAAGTCATCTTCACTCCTGTCTCTGCATCACTTAGTGCACATACACTGGTTTTACTTGTATTTATGACATTCCTATCTGTGCTTTAATACCTTCAGTATAAACACTATTGTTTCCTCTGTCTCCTAAATTCATAAAGCCTTCTGTTCAATACATTACTGGATTTGGGGGCCTGTAGTATAGCTTTCTGGCATAGTGCATGTTTAGCATGTATGAGAACTAAGAATCAATCCTCAATGTAAGTTAATAAATGAAAAACCCATTATTTGTATATTGACAGAACAAGTATTATAGTATTGAGTATTTCTATTAAAAATCTGAAAAATTGGGAAAGATAAGAGAGAATGATGAAAGAGTAACATTGATCAAGATGCATTATACTTATAAACCGATTTTATGGAAATTCTTATTTTTTTCCCTACTATCCCTTCCCTCTCACCTCCTCAACTACACCCCCACACACCTCCCACGACCTCCCAGCCCCGCCTAAATTGTAAAGTTGGTTTTTCGACATAGTGTCTTGTATATCTCATTGTTGCAGTGGGTCAATCTGTATCCCTATTTAAACATTTTGTTTTTTCCCTTACCCTCCCCAAATTATACCAACATCAAATACAGTGAAAAGTGGGGTTATGCCATGAGGGAGGGACATATAAAAGGACAAAAAAAACACATGGTACCTTATAAATACATCAGAAACAATAGCAAGGAAGAAAAAACCACTGCGTCCCTATCTTGGGGTTCATTTTGCTTAACATCATCTTCCCCGAGCTTTTTCATTTTGCTTAACATCATCTTCCCCGAGCTTTTCTGCTTGTCCCAGACATATACTAGTTAGTTACTGCAAATAAGGGAAACCATGGGGCCTATGTTTCTTTGGGCCTGGCTTACTTCACTTCATATAATTTTCTCCAAGTCTTTCTATTTCCTGGAAATTCTTTTATGGTAATTCTTTTGTTACTTAAAGACGATAAAATATAATTAAAAAAGAATCTGAACAATGAATATTGTGATAAGATGCAAGATTAGTGTTCTGTATAGTAAATTCCTAGTTCCATGTTCCAGATTTCTTTCTTGCTTTCTGTTATTCTATTCATAGGTAAAAACCTTTTTGGCACTCATGCAAACCATTTTTCATGCCTAAGTTAGGGCAAGACTTATAGACCATATACATACATACATACATGTATATATATGTATGTATGTATATACCATATATACGTATATATGGTTTATAAGTATTATATTTACACATATATACTGTATAGTTAATTGTAGATTGTAAGTATTGGGAGTGGAGAGCTCTTTATTTTATCATGTTTCTTGTCCCCAGTGACTAGTAAGAGGCGGTCATTTAGCCAGTATTCACAAAGTATTGGCAGTGAAGGTGGATGGAATATAAATGACAGAGAAATGATTGTGGTGTGGTAACTGTCACTGCTTTATGTTGTCTTCAGCACAACAAGCTTTCTGTTATGAATTAGTGTAAGCTGGCCTTTATTAGTATCTTCAACTACATTTAAAAATATTTGATGCTGACAATAATTCATTTGTCAGGATGAAGTTATTAGCATTTTCATTATATTTACTGTTTTTTACAAAACAAATTACTAACTGATTCTTAGCAAACACTGACATCTTACTAGGAACAGACATATCTAACATGAAGATGAAGAAGAGAGGAGGGCAGGTATGGAACAAAGAAATGAGTGCTAGTGATACCATCTAGCATCTTTCGCAGTTGGGATTTGCTTCTTTACAAACTGAACTGCAATGAAGATAATTTTATTTCTCATGACAAATACCTTAATAAATGTATTTGAAAGGCTTGTCACTTTGTAGAGTAGTGACCTTTGTCCAAATGAGTGTCTGTCTGACAAACCTAGTCCATATGCCTTTTATTTGGGAAGAGTAATGATGTATGTGTCTGCTATTGCATTCTTACCTCTGCCTTCCATTTGTCACTTTCCATCTCCAGACAGCAGGCAAGGCTATTTGTCTGCCTCAACTGAATATGTACATCCCCCATGCAGATGAATGCGATGTGGTGATGTCTCATGTCACATTGATGCTTCCAAACACATCCTGGTATACAGCGCTAAATTCTAGTTTGGCTTTGGCCCCACAGCCCATGTTTATTATTTTGTAAGACAATTGGGTCTACATGTTAGACTTTTGTATGCTTATCTCGTTGGTGTATAAACACATAAATTTCCATCTTGCAGGTATTTATTCAGAAAATTTGAGCATAGATAACTTTGGAATACTAGACATTGCATCTTTATGTACATTACAGCTTTTATTTATATGATTTATAATGAAATCATGGGGGAAAGTTTATGTTACATATTCTTTCCTTACACAAAGGTTAAAGGACATTATTTTTCCTCTGGGACTAAATTGAAAGGTATTTGTAGCTTATAATAAATGTCATATGCTGACCATTTTAGAAGATAAACCTGTGAGGTTGAACAATTATGTTAATAAAATATACAGTAGTAACAGTTGAATACATGGAAAATTCATCTTTATCAGCTAACATTACTAGACAGTGGACAATAAATATCAATAATACATTTCACTTAATACTATCATAAAAAGAGAGAGGTAGTAGAGTTAGGAGAGAGGATAACAGAAGAAAGCCAAAGAAAATGAAGCAGATAGAAAGATGTTGGCAGTGAAGGTGGAGACTCTCAAGAAAAACTGAGTTTGTGATGGATTCATAGCAACATAACACATCATAGCTTTTAGAGCTTGTTCATGCATTTGATCATATGTGCCCTTTTACCAAAATAGACCTACTTATGACCCTTCCATACCTCTCTTAGACATGTGTTATAAGGAATGTAAATCAATGAAATCAGCTAAGATAGATGAAGAAAAATATGGGATAGTAGATAGATAGATAGATAGATAGCTATCAGACAGACACATGCCATGGAGTACTAGTTAGCCATTAAAAAAATTGTACCATGTGCCAAGGCTTATGCCTTTAATTTCTAGCTCCCAGGAGGAGGATGAGCTCTGAGGATTTGGTTTCGACCAGTTTAGGTAAGGAAGTCTGTGATTCTCTTATCTCCAATTAACCACCAGAAAGCTGGAAATTCAGCTGTGGCTCAAGTGATAGAACAATACCCTTGAGCAAAAAAAGCTCAGAGACAGTGCCCAGACCCTGAGTTCAAGCCCCAGGATTAGCACCACCACCACCACCACCACCACCAAAAAATAATAATAATAAAGAGAGTGGGGATAGGGGAAGGAAAGAAAGGAAAGGAAAGGAAGGAAGGAAGGAAAGAGGGAAGGAAGGAAGAAAGGAGAGAGAAAGTTATTTGTAGGAGAATGGTTGGATATGGAAATAGATGAAATAAGCTTAAAAGCCAAATACCAAATATTTTTTGCTCATTTGTGAAATCTAGATCTAGAATGATGATAATGATAGAATAAGAATGTAATAGGGAGGACTATCAATGGGAAGAGGGATGGAGGATGAGAAGATTGAACTCTGTCAAATTAAAGCATGTATGTACGCATGTTTGTATGTGTATATATGTCTGTCTGTCCATGTATGTGAAGACAACCTAATGAGATTCACAGAAGACTGAAAGCTGATGAAGTGAGCTGGTATTACAGGACAGTAATAGAGGAGTGAACTTAATCAAAGTACACTTTTTGCTTTTGTAGCATTATAGTGAAACTCCTTTACACTATTAATATCTCAATTTGAAAATAAAGTTTACATCAGCAGGTAAAGTTATAGGTATTAGAACTGAGTCCAGAATTGTTAAACAATGACAACTGGCTGAAGTAGAGTTATATTTTGAACTTAGATCATTAGACTGCATCTGGTACTCCTCTTGACAAAGCCCTTTCTTCAGATACTAGAAAAGTCTGAGACTGCTGAAATTCATTTTTCTGAGGAAAGCCATAAAAACCACTAAAAATATTTTTCCCATCATCAATGAGTGGGGAATAGAGTAAAGGCTATTAGAATATTTTAATCTATGTTAATTAAAATGTTCTGTTTTTTTAAAATTTGTAGTATAAAGATGCATTTATGAAAGCAAATCCTGGCTACAAATGGTGTCCTACCACAAACAAGCCTGTGAAATCACCAACACCCACTGTCAATCCACGAAAGAAACTTTGGGCCTTTCCGCCTGACTCTTCAAGAGATCTGCCAAGTCCCAAGAAAGCAAAGACTGAAGAAATGCCTCAGCTTAACTTTGGAATGGCCGGTGAGTTTAGAGACTCTTTGTCCTATTTTTTATAGGACAAAACATGTGGTGAGTGAATATTTCTTAACAAATACCAAAAGCTGAGTGGAGAGAAATTTACGATCTACATGAATCATTGATATGTTTTAAACCTAGGTCATCAGACCCTCTTCAGATAACCAAATGTGGGGGTTTTTGCCCACTTTGTTTCCTACATCCCTTCTCCTAGTGGTGTGTGTGTGTGTGTGTGTGTGTGTGTGTGTGTGTGTGTGTGTGTGTGTGTGTGTGTGTGTGTGTGCGTGTATGTGTATATATGCATGCATGCCATTTCTGGGACTTGGATTCAGAACCTTTCCCTCTTGATTAGGTTTTTCATTCGTGTCTGTTATTCTACACTTGAGCCACACCTCCATTTTCTACTTTTTACTGGCTAATTGGAAATGTCTTTCTTATTTGTATACCCAGGCTGGCTTCAAACTTCAGTCCTCAGATCTTAACCTGAGTAGCTAGGATGACGGGTGAGCCAATAGTGCCTGGCTTCCCATTATACTCTCCATCTTGGCTCCTTTATCTCATAATTGAATATGAGATTGGAGCATTACATATAAAGGATAGATGTATGGATCTATAAATGTATTAAAGTAAAGGAGATAGAGACTAGATAACAATGTTAGCTTGTCAAGAGCTTAGGAAATTTAATATTAACAAAGCAGAAAAGTTCCTAGTAAGTACTGCTTATCACAAAATTTAAAAAGCCATAATGAATTGTCTGAGTAACTGAAACACTGAGGGCAAGAATATGAACAACTATTGCAAATCTTAGATGGATCTGATGACTATCTCCTATCATCTTCTGTCCTATTACTATATGGGCTGAGCGGATTTCAAATGAAGCGTAGTTCTATTTGCTCTAATACTTTGGGAGGTCAGGAATACTACAGTGTTGATTAGAATGAAATAAAATACATCTATTTACCTTGAAAATGTTTCTTACCTTTCCTGTTTCTGTGTGGTATGCAAACAGTAATATGTAGGATGTAATTGTGAATGTGTAGGATGTAATAAATGAAGTTGAAGTGTAAGCAGTGAAGTTCATGTTGAGCCATAGGAATCCAGTTCCATTTATCAAGCAACTTTTCTTCAACATCAGAGTCCTGAACCATATATGATATTGAAAAATTGGAAAACAAAGTTGAGCAATACTATAATGACACCATAAGAAAAAACTGTCTAGTAGACTAACAAAGACATTGTAGTTCAATGGATGATTCATAATATAAAAAAGTATATGTAAATGCTAAAAAAAAAAAAAGTCTTAACTGATAAAAATTGGAGCTCACTGTAATAATAACATTCTTGGGAAATATATATTCCATATATATTTATTCCAATATATATATTCCAAATATATATATATATATATATATATATATATATATATATTCCATAATATAATTCTAACTGAACTCCCAAAACAATGTTTCTACATGTCCCAGAAGAACTACAACATACATAGATATCTTTCTTGTTTTAGCTTTCATTCTGTACATGTAGCTTCAAACACTTATTATAAGTCCTGGTGAGCCCTCTGGGCTTCCCAGGTTGTACGATTGTTGTATTTTTCTAAGACATTTTATTATCGGGACCAACAATGAATACATCTATGACAGGCATCTAAACTTAATTCCTAGATTATTGTCTAGCATGCATTGCTTTTCTCTGAATTCTAAATCTAGGTTAGTATGCGTAGGGCTTTATTTGTTTATATACAGTTGACCAAATATTACAGGTAAACTACAGAACCTATGTAGAAGTGTGTTTTGTAGTCTTCTTCATAGTACTTATTCATCTGCCTTTTTTCCTACAAAATGGAAGTCAAACCTGGACTTCAAACAAAGTATTTATTTCTAGGTCAGCTTTTTAAAATCTTTTTTTAAAGCAAGAGTAGGACACAAGAAAAACATTTTCTGACATTTATCTCAATAATGCCTTGTGCCATGTGTTAGAAATAGATAATCAAGACATTCTTTATGTAGCGTGTGTATAGTAATATTACTCAAATATTCTCTCTTTTTCCAACAAGATGAAAGTGAACTAAATTGCCTTTAATTATAACCTACCATTTAGTTCTCAGACTCTGGGGAATACTAAAAGGGGTTTTAAAGAGCAATTTTAAGTTTTTCTCACCATAAATATTTGTTTTGTTGTGTTTGCTTAAATAGTCCTTGTCGCTCCATATTTCACAATTTAGAATAATCCCAAAGTTGTCAAATGTAGTTTTGAAAAGTAATTTTGAAAAGATGTATAGAAGAAATGGACTCACATTACCTTACTCATGTAACTGTAACCCTTCTGTACAGCATCTTTACAATAAAATAATAAAAAAAAGAAAAGGTGCATAGAATGGAAGACACCAACTTGCTCAATAAATGGAAAGTATTCTATTTATATGAATTTATAATCTTATATAAAGTACAAATGATATGAAAGATATTTTCTTGGCATGTCTTCCAGTATCAGTACAGAAAACTTCTTAAAAAGTCACATTTGGTATATAATTTCAATTATCATGTAATCATGTTCATATTTGACTTTGTAATTTGAGCTACATATTTTTATCTTTAGAATGCCAGTCCTCCTAGTCTCTAGGATGACAGCTGCAAAAGTGTTTCCTCTCAAAGTACCAGGGGGAGCATTGCTTTCTACTAAATTCATTTTTCCTTCTCATTTTTATTTTTAATTAGGCTTAAGTATCTATTTCAGTAGGCACAATAGTTCTTAAAGTTAGTGCTTAAATAACATTGAAATCTTAAAACAAAACTCAAGAGGTCTGTTTTTATCAAGCCAGCCAGTACTTAATAGTGTATTCTATGTGTGTTTTCCATGTGGCTGTCTACCACCATTGAGCTATTTCTTTTTCTTTTTCTTTCCTTTTCTCTTTCTTTTCTTTTCTTTTGCTGGTCCTGGGGCTAGTGCTCTATCATTTAGGCCACAGCACTACATGTTTTTCTGAGTAATTTATTGGAGATAAGTGTCTCACAAACTTTGCTGACCTGGCTTTGAACCGTTATCCTCTGATCTCAGCCTACGGAGTAGCTAGGGTTACAGGCATGAGCTACCAGCACTGGCCCATTGAGCTATTTCTTGAACAGCTCTTCATTTGCTGAAATGTTTTTTCCTTTAGTAACTTCCTAAACTCTTTTTTCCCCCTCACTATTTCCTTTTTTTATTGTTTACTTTTTTGACTTGTCTTTTCTAAAAAAAAAGTTATATGTAGGATTTGATCAGAGTCATTTCAGGAGTTCTTAAAACATGCTGTGTTCTTGTGTATACCTTTAGCAAAAAGAAAAACAATTGAACATTTTCAGAGAATATTATGACTGGTCCTCATTTGCATTTGTAGGATAATTCCTAAAATATGCCTTTATGGAGGACCTATGTATACATGAAGAGACACTGAATTAGGCATTTTCACATACGTTCTGTGCTTTAAAAAAGCACAGAAGACTGGTGGGATAACAGGTTCGGTATGGTGGCGCATGCCTATAAACCCAGCATTCTGAGTCTGGGCTGTATAGAAAACTCTAGAGGAATGACAAAGATCAGTGAGGGCTGGAAATAAGTGAGAAAAATGGAGACAGAAAGACCAGAGAAAGTAGAGAGAGAGAAAAGATGGAAGGAATAAAGGTAAGGAGGGAGGAAGAGGAAGGGATGAGAGCGAAAGACTAGGCTCATTAAAAAGTACTAACACACATATACTAGGTTACTATTAAATAAAGAGTTTTGGCTATTTTCCATGAAAGTTACACATGTTATAACAGATTTTTGTCTCTGAATATTCCCTTTTGATTTCATGTAGTTAGATGTACATCATACTTTTAAGTTGATGAATTATTTTCTTATTTAGATCCTACCCAAATGGGAGGGCTGAGCATGCTGCTGTTAGCTGGAGAACATGCTCTTGGAACACCAGAGGTAAGCTATACTTCTCTCTCCGTTTTGCTCATAGTGGGGGTGTCAGAAGCCAGGCATCTTTATTCTGGTGACATCATTTCTGTTACTTACAGCTTATCAACAAACTTTAGCTGTAATTATTCTCATTAAGAACTAGCAGCATATGGTGTTGAGGGTAACAGTGTAAACAGGTCCAAATACACACAAACAATGTTCACTCAACTGTTCCCTGCTTTTTAGGGTATTTTAATCTAAACTTGCTAGTGGAAAGATGACAGGGAGAATATGAAACTGTCAGCCTCTCTAGTATCTGAATAATTCTGGACTCCTACTTTACAAATCTGGCACTACAGATTTCTAGGATTCTTTTTTAATTGTTAAAAGGAAAAAAAGACTTAGGGCCTCTGGTTGATGATCTCGTTATTGCTTTTGTTATAAAAATATTTAAGTATACTTTTGTTTTTGATGGACAGGTAGCAGTTAACCACACATAATTTGTGTTTGTAGAGTCTTCTATTAATAGCACTTTATAGAGACCAGTTGAATTAACATGTTGGTCATGTTAGTTTACCTCACTTTGAGATGGAAACTTTCAATCCTTAATCACTATAGCTATTTAGGACAAAATAATAGTGATTTCAATTGTATTGTATGTCTGTACTTTTTTTTAAATTGTGAAGATGCTATACAAATTACATTTGAAGTTGATTTGATGTCGAAGCTATTTATGTCATATAAGGTGTTTATTTTATATGTAATTTGTATCTGGGATCTACAGTTGCTGACTGTATCTTCAGTTTTACTTAACTTTTGATTGTGTTGAGTTTGATATCTAAAAACATAAACAAATTTGCTAGTAATTTACATTGCATTGGCCTTTAACTGAAAACAGCATAATAATCTCACTTGTGTATTTGCAGGTTTATTACTTAGCATATTTGTGCTTTCTAACATAGTAGTAACATTGTCTGGCATTATTTTACTTCCGATTACAAGGTGCTGCTTAATGGCACATCAGACTTCCACTTGGGTATAGAACCAAATATGTTCCGTAGCACGTTAGAATGAATAATAACATACTTTCCCTATAGTCTGATTCATAGGATTTTCAGGAATGCATTGCATTGTGAAAGTATTATCTTTTCTAACAGATAGATAAGATGGATTCTGCTACATATGCCTCCCACATAACTGGGATTACAAGCATATCACGCCAGACCTGGCTTATGTGTTGAACTCCTTGTCTTTCCAAACTCTGCCTCCCACGTAACTAGACTTCCAGGCAAGCACCATCTTGGCAAAGCTCCTCAATTTCTATACAAAATGTTACTCCAAAGATGTAGACATGTTAATACAACTTTAGGACATTGCCTGAATTGGCAATGTTCATCTGAACATAAGACAAATACAATAAATATATACTTACATTTTCCTAAGAAAACTAACAGACTAATAAGATGAGATGCAGAATTTGGAGAAGTTACGGTGAATTTGTTGGTATTATAAGGCTTGACCAGTAAAAGTGACATTTGGTAAATACTGTGCTACAGAAAAGTTTTAAATGACCTTTAAAATGCTGCAATAGAATCCTTATTCTGAAATATTCTTAAAAGGAAGAGACTTTCTTTCCTTTGTTCATTGACCAGAGACCTAACCACATAGGAAAAATCTGCAGGAGACTTAAGGTTCTTTTTTTCTTTTTATATGAAAAATACAATATAGGTAACAGAATTTGTTAAACAATGCAGAGGATTTTTTGGTGTGTTTTTAATATGAAAATGGTAAGATCCTAGATTAAAAGTTTCTTTGGGCTGTACTGTTTCCTTAGTTCTACCAGATGCGGTTTGTTTGGCGTTTGTTAGGGAGAAATATTGAGATATAATGACAACTGAAGTTTTCTTTTTTTCTCCCCTCTGTCTTCTAATAATTTTCAACCTGCCATAATAGATTTATGATGAACATTCTTATGTGCCACTGCTACTGAGCCAACCAGCAGGGCTTTAATGGCCAAATTTGTGATTAGCTTTGAGTTGGTTTAAAAAAAAGGGGGAAAGGAATGAATTTTAATTTATAACTTTTTTGGCTTTTAAAAATTTTCACATAAATAATCCACCTATTCATGGTACATAAAAATGCTTAAAATATTAGGGATAAAATGTTTTAAATGATTTGTTTTTATTGTACTTATTGATTGGAGAAAAATCAATGTATTGAGTTAGACTGACAGGAAGGAGTAGTTTCTGTCTGAGACTGGCAGAGTAGCTTTTTCTCTGCTGGGACTCCATGCAGTACAGGCAAAAATGTCATATTAGGAACTGACTCTGTCTTCGTGAAAGAAATGGAAAGCTTCCATTGAATAGGAGATCACAGCAAGTTATTTAAGCCAGAAATCAAATGAACTTTAATCTTTAAAATGTAAGAAGGGGTGGGCAGACAAAAGGCTCACAGAGAGCTGCAGAGTATCAGCCAGTCTCACTGGAATTCCCAGAGGTAGAACTATATGTATTTTGTTGTTTTCAAATTTTGAAAGAACTGAAAATTTAAAATTCAGGAGATACACAAGTGTAGTGTTCCCAACAATCTTTGGGTAAGAACTGAAAAGGAAGCAGTTAGCATTAAATCCTTCTATTTCATATGAAGAAGTTCTTAAAAGATGAAAATACAGTAAGTGGAAGTGTTTGGTCTAGAATTACTAAAAGTAATTTCCAGGATTAATGATCTTCTATTACATTTGTCAGTCATTTTAATAAAAATGTAATGCTAAATTAAAATTTAAAACTCAAAATTCAGATTATTAAGCACATAATGTACAGAACAGTTTGGGTCAATCCTAGCTGTAATCTTGCTATTTATTCCTAATTGAGCAATAGGAAGTCATTTTGGCTAGAGCAGGAGGAAGGGTGATCGAGAACAATGGAAAATAAATACATATAGGTTATACTGTGGGAGAGGGACATACAAAGCAACACAGAAATCATAGTTTTAAATAAGGATATACAGGTGGACCCATTACAATAATGAGATGTACAAGACGTTATGTCGAAAAACAAACTTTACAGTGCTCGCTTCGGCAGCACATATACTAAAATTGGAATGATACAGAGAAGATTAGCATGGCCCCTGCGCAAGGAAAAACGAACTTTACAACTTTGGCGGGGAGGGGGGCGCAGTTGGGGGGAGAGATGGGAAGGGATGGGAAGGGGAAACAAAGGAGGAGGCAACAATGCTTGATAAGAAATGTACTTGCCCATGTAATTGTAACCCCTCTGTACGGTATTTTCAAAATAAAAAAAAAATGAATGTATCTGTTCAGTTGAATGACTGAAGTAAAAATATCCAAGTGTATTGATAATGCTCTTGACCTAGATAGAGTATGAGACTGAGGAATGCCTGGTTCCTTATGTAGAAAGCACATTGTTTTATCAAGCATCTTTTGGCTTTGCCTTCCATGCTGTGAAATAAGCTAATAATAATAACCTGCTTGCCTATAACTCCCAAGACTACTAGAAAGATTAATTAAATAACACATGTAAGGTATTTTTAAAAACTCTCCTGAAAAAAATTCTTTTAAGTATGTATTACTACCATAAATCATTCTAAGCATATTATACTTAGCTTGAGAGTGCAAACTACATTGGGCATTCGTCCCGCAGTCTGTAATAGGTTTACATAACATGCTTGCAGCCTACATATTGTAATATACTGGACCAGCAATGTGCATGCATATGTGTCATGATCACATACAGTTGCTTGGCCACAGAAACCTTGTACAAATTTACACTATTCTCTTCATCACCAGGTGCTCAAGACGGGAACAACTGAATAGGAGAAATAAATGAATTTAGAATGTACAATCTTGGCTGAATTAGCATAAGAGTTAATGCAAAAGGTGCTAGGACCTGGCTGCACACTACCTTTAAGAGCCCTCTATAGAGGAAGGTCATGCTACATAAGTCTTGAACTGTACAAATGTGATTGAAATTTGAAAGCTATATATTTTTTTTTTTGGGAGGGGGGGTCCAGTCGTGGAGCCTGAACTCTGGGCCTGGGCACTGTCCCTCAGCTCTTCAGCTCAAGGCTAGCGCTCTACCACTTGAGCCACAGTGCCACTTCTGGCTTTTTTTTTTTTTTTTCTGCTTATGTGGTGCTGAGGAATCGAACCCAGGGCCTCATGCATGCAAGGCAAGCACTCTACCACTGAGCCACCTTCCCAGCCCTATATTTTGTTTTTTAAGTTTGTCTCATCAGTCCTTCACCATCAATAGGAAGCCCTTAGATTCCTTTTCTTCCTAACCCTTTATAGACCTTCTTACCAGAATTAGACATTCTAACACATTTTCTTTAGTTTGATGTTTTATTATAGTCTTGTGTGTTGTAAAAATTTTTCATCATATACTATTGAAACAACTTTGGATTGGAAACAGTGATAATATTTAAACTGTGCATTTGCTTTCAGAATACTTAACTACTGCAGCTAACTTTTCCTGAGCTCTGCTTCCATCCAGCGTGTTGTTCTGAGACACATTACAAAGAGTAACTCTGATTCCTCAACAGTCCTATGTGTTGTCTTGTGTGCCTTATTGAATCACTTAACTGAGGAAATAGAGACAACAAAGTACAACAACTACACTGTGGTGTAGCTATAAATTAGCAAAACTTAGGTTAGAATCCAGGAGAACTAGCCAGTTGATTTGTAGCATACAAGGACCTTTATGATTCATTACTAATCTACCTATCCATTTTCATCTCTGGCCACTTCTCTGATGTCCTTTGCAGGACCCTTAGTGAAGCTAATAACAACCAGAGGAGGACCATTTCCTGAGTGCTTTCAGGGCTAAGTAAAATGATGTGCTAAGACCTTTACATCTATTAATTCTTGTCATCCTCCCAAGAACCCTATGGTGTTGGTTTATCACTGCCCTCATTCTCCACAGTCATAGGATGAGGAAATCATACTAGAAAGTCCGCCCACATATTTTATACTAAATGATGATAGAAGCAAAATCTGAGATACATAGTTAACAGTTGACCACACTAGTATTTGTTAATAATTATATCCACATTTTAAATACTTTATTTTGGATTAAAAATAAATTCTGATTCAGATAAAATTGATGCAGGTTTTTACTTTTGTTGTCATGGGGCTGGTATGGTTGAATTAGTTTGAGCTATGCCTCTCTTGGGTCACTGTATGACTGTATACCCATCAAAGCTGTTTAGCTCATTTTGTGAGGAAATATACTGTAAAGTAGGAAAAGTAGGTACAGGTTTCCCCCTTTCATGTGACTGTTTGTTGCCCCCTTTAGCTAGAACTGTCCCCCTCCCCCACAAGCCAAAGAGCCCAGCTATTTGCTCTTCAGCCATGGGACTCATATCCTTTGGTGCAGGCTCCTTTCCCCGGCCTGGTTGACAGTCATAGATTCTACATGAGTTCTCAGACTGCGCTGATGAGTTTGCATGAGCTCATTAATGACAATGCTCTTTCTCTCTCTTTCTCTTCTTCTCTCTTTCTCTCTCTTTCTCTCTCTCTCAGATGAAGGGGAAGGGAAAGGGACAGCAAGAGTTCTGGGGTAGGGAGAACAAGAGGATAAAAGGGGCATTCTTCCCGAGAGAGAAAGGTCATCAGTGCTACTGTCATTATTGAGAGAATGTGTAGATGCACTATTGTCATTACATTCTCTTCTTACCGTGTCTTCAAAGGCAGAAAGAGGACAGAGTAATATTGCTTTCCATTTTATCAAATGAAGAAACTTGAGGGAAAAAGGTACTGTCAGTCATTTTAACTGTCACATAGGCTATCTGTAAAACTAGCCTGTCTGGATTCCCATCCACACAGATTGTACTGACAAGAAACCATTACCCACTGAGTAAAATTAGTAGTCTGGTAGTCTGGATACCCTGAGTAAAACCAGTGGTTTTCCTTTCAGCTGGATGACTCAACATATTCTAATCTGGGAGCACTCAAATCTGTGGTGCTGTTTGGTTGTGCTCTCCACAGTAGCCCACTTAACCTCCTCAGATGTAGTATACAAGAGTGTCAGGTAGCCAGGTGCAGTGCTTCAGGATTCAGGCCCTCCTTTAACTCTCAGATGGAATCTTCTATCCTATATCCCAGTCTTCTACCCTGAACCACCTCTTTTCATGAAAAACACTCCCTGCACCCCACCAAGCTGGCTTCCTTTTGTTACCTTCCCTATTTAAGCTTTGGCTTACTGTAGAGTCACTGGCATTGTCTGACCCTACTCCCTCTGTTCTGACAATCCTTCCAGAAAATTACTGAAAACTGACAAATACTGTGATTTAATTGGAACCCAGATGTCTATTGCTTTATTTCCTTTACCTCCTTAATTGGTCTGCCTCTAGTTGCTCCCCAGCCAAGGTCATCCTGCACACCACTGACATAATTATCTAACTGCATATCTCTCAACCTGATGTGTCTTTAACTAATAACCTTGGCTGGTTCTTCATTTCTTCTAGCCTAATTTCAGACTTCTTCACGTAGAATCCTGATTTCTGTTGGTCTGACTCATTTCTTACTACATTCCTATGGCATCTTGATCTTGACCCACTCTGGAGAAGTTTGTGTTTCTCAAAATCACAGGGCATTTATGTGCCTCCATATTTCTACACTTCCCTCCCACACTTTTTGTGAGAGAAATTCTGGCTTGCCTTCTTGGTGGATCTCAGATGTTACCTTACCTTCTTCACCCACAGCATGATGGCTCTTTCCTGTTTCCTTCAAGGTCCTTCTAACACCTAGTCTAGCTTGAATTGCGAGCAGCCTAAGGGTCTAACATACTGTTTGGGAATGTATACAAGATAGATCTAGAGCTTAAACTCTTGAAAATCCTTACTTCAGGTAAATAGGTGTTGAGCAAGTGAGTGGAAAGTGAAGGTTTGAATTAGCAAGATTAGGACTACATAGCTAGGATGCACACATGCTCCTTATGTTGACTGTGTGTCCACAACAGTACCAGCTGGTATGTGGCTGTGTTCTGCCATATATCATAGAAGCAGACCCTTAATAATTCCTAGCTTTGCAAGCCAATTACAGTATACAACGAGCTTGATCTCCTTTTGTGTTACAAGGCTGAATCACCTTTCTATGTCTATGATTTTCACTATGTAAACTGCTTCTATTACTTTGTCATAAATCTACTAATCATTTTTTTTTTTTCTCCTTGGTTATTGGGAACTGTGGGTAAATAAAGAGAGGACTGAATTTAAGTTCAATGTGTGGTTAACTCTTTTCTTTTTTGGGTATATAGCATCACCTAGTGGTATAATGGATTATTTCACTGACTGTTTCTAGGAACAGTGTCTTCGGGCTTTTTCTCTTCCTTTATTTAACATTACTTATTTAGTGTCTTTTCTTTTTGCTGCATTAATGATTGTGTATTCTATTATATTTAAGAAGTAAACTGGCTCTACAATGAAAACAGATGTTGATTGGTGTTTAAACATAAAAGCATGCCTCACCTAATAAAAATAAGTAATTGTGTCTTAGACACAAACAATAGGTGACAGCACAGCACATTGTATTTTATACATTTCACAAGGTCTGGGAATCTGACTAATGATATTACTCAACTCAGAGGCTTTTGTAGGAAGTATTCTCTCCCTTTCATATAGATTCATATATCTCCTTACCAATGTATGCAAAAATATACATACCTTTATTATTTGCTTTATTTATCAAGCACAGAAGAATGAATTCCACATGTATATATTTGCCATGTCATTGAACCATTTCACATTTTAAAATTGTGGATATCACAGCATCTCTATTTCTTCTTTAATGCAGATGTATAATCATCCTTACCTTCACAACTTTAGAATCATAATCATGCTTAACTTGAAAAGACATGTTTTGTGGAATTATTCCTTCCAATGAAGGAATTACTAATACTTTGTGGCTTACTAATTTCAGGATTTGTTGGCTTTCACTGTGGAGCATTTGATAAGTCCTTACTAGGGACATTTGATACAACATACCAAACAGTTAAGTGACAGTAAGAATCTAGATCTCCTCGAGAAGCAAACTAATGAAAAGTTTTGCACCTTCTCTATAGTGCTTATCAGTGGGAGAGGGTAGCTATTACTCTTTAAAAATCCAAAGGTGACTAATAACATTTAAAATACTTGTTCCTGCTCAGTGGCCTCTGACACTGCTCAAGAAATACTCCCTCCCCCCCACCATGAACTAAAGAGGTTTACTAGGACAATGTTAGCACACTGCCTATCTTAAGTGGCAGATCTTTCTATAGGAAGAAACTCTCTGATGCATCTAGCCATGTGCAGGTTTAAAAACTCAACTGGAAAAGACTTAGAAATGTAGGAGAATTATATTTAAGAAAAGAGCATCTATATAACCCTATGTATACAACTGGACAGATACAGACAGAATGTTAACATTGCTTATTTTGGGGGAGTAGCACTGTAGGTAATTTCTTCTTTACATTGTTTTTATGAGGGTTTTTTTTCTCCCAGATTTTAAAATTTTACAGAGAATTTAGATTTCATTATTCCTCTGATCTAACCCTTTCCATAATTATGCATGTATATGCATATGGCGTACACGCGCATGCGCACGCACACACACACACACACACACACACACACACTCAAGAGGTTACTTATCTAGTGACTCTTGCATTTAGTATATTTAGCAATTGAATGGCCTCTTTTATATAACTGCACAGTAACTACATTTTTGTCACAGTGTTGCCTTAAATTAAGGAAAATAAAACTTTTTTTTTTGTCAATGTAAGACTGTTCCAAGTTGTCTTCTATACCCTTTCAGAAGCTATTCTTGTGATGCTCATGCCATCTTTCTTTATTTCAGATATCCTCTGGCACTTGCAGACCTGATGTTTCAGAATCCCCTGAATTACGGCAGAAGTCACCATTATTTCAGTTTGCCGAGGTAATATATTGTAAATGACACTTGATTAATGAACAAATTATAAAGCAATTTTAAATTTAGTAAGTGATGAAATGAAGAACTCTTTAAGAACTAAGGAATTCGTGGGCTGGGAAGGTGGCTCAGTGGTAGAGCGCTTGCCTTGCATGCATGAGGCCCTGGGTTCAATTCCTCAGCACCACATAAGCAGGAAAAAAAAAGCCGGAAGTGGCGCTGAGGCTCAAGTGGTAGAGTGCTAGCCTTGAGCTGAAGAGCTGAGGGACAGTGCCCAGGCCCAGAGTTCAGGCCCATGACCGCCCCCCCCCCCCCAAAAAAAAAAAAAAAAAAAGAACTAAGGAATTCTACTCAGTTCTGATAGCTACAATGGGATAAAAGAAGTTTTTTATTAGAGAAATAAATATGTGCTTATAGAAGCTATTTAGTAAATCATATAAAATGTTATTACACTTAAACCTCATCATTATCTTGTATTCATGGACAGTGAGGTTTAAAATATAAAATATGTACTTTATATATAAATGATTATAAAATGTTATACACAACTAGATTATAAAATGTCTAATTTAATATAGAATATAATTTATTATGAATTGATTTGTAAGTCAGAAGACTATTGACTGTGTGTTATTTTTCATACACTTCCCTCTTCTTTAAAACTAGCCTGAAGTTGGCAGCTTTATGTCACAAAACTTTTCAGCTCAATATGTCTCTCAATATTGATTCAAAGCGTTTACATAGAATAAGTATATCATCCTTAATATCAAATGTAGAAGTTAAAATTGTTTCCCAAAATGTCTTAATTCATTCTAGAACTCTGAATGAGTCTTTTTTGATATTTTTTGCCTTTTAATTCTTAATTATTTAAATTGTCTTTGTTGCACATTGTCTACTACTCTCATCCTTCTTGGCATTTGTCCATCCTGTCCCAGTTTTGTAAGAAGACCATATTTTTGGTTTCAGATTATTTTGATACAAGCACATCAGACCAGTTCTTTGAGACTGTTTATATAGTATTCCTAGTGGCCTTGCTGGTATCATCAGCACATTAGACAAGTAGGAAATCTTGTGAACTCTCTCTTTCTTTCTCTTTCTCTCTCTCTCTCTCTCTCTCTCTCTCTCACACACACACACACACACACATTTTTTGTCTTTATTGGCCTCTGTCTGAGATCTGGCATGGATTCCAATAATTTGTTTGTGCAAGAATTGAACAGAGTATTCACTCTGCAGTCCCTTTTCATCAGAAGTTATAGAGGTGCCAAATTAGGTTAGACCCAACTTTGAAAGCAGAATGACCCCTGAAACTTAAAAAGTCTAGTAAAATCTCATGTGAAATCTGAGAGAGATATTAGAATATGTTTATTTTGTTGCCTCTGTGGCATGCCTAAGATTTCAGAGATCTCTGGCAGTATTGTTTAATATGAAGGGTTCTGGCTTAATTCTTGTTCAAGAGCTACTATTTTTGCCACTAATTGAACTCTGACAGTATCTCATTATCACCTTAAAAGTATCCTTCTGTTTAAAACTTATAAAATGCTTTTCAAAAAAGCTAGATGTATGATGATACTAGTTCTTTTTTGTTTATGCCCTAATTTAAATTTCTAAAGAAAGATATTATAGGTTAGGCATTTCTTTTTACGCAAATTGCTTACTCTTTCAGAATGTTATTAGTAAGAATGAAATGTAGTATCTAAAGTAAGTTCTATTAAGTTTACAATTCCAAAGACTTCAGAAAAATCCCTTTGATTCCTTTTGGTAGTCCATCACACTTGTATTTAGTATTTACTGGAAATTACAGTTTCAGTGGTTTAAATAAGAAAAGTTCTGAAATTTCAGCCTTTAATGTTTTCAGATTAATTGCTTAAATTTTATCCATTCATAATCTTTTGTTTATGTCTAGTTTTCTAATTAGAGTCTGCTAGACTTTTTTCTTCTTACTGATATTTGTTTTAAAAATGCTTATCTATCTGATTAATATAAAAATCAGTTTCCAGTACTCTTTACACTAATACTCTCATCCTTAATCACCATTTTAATACTGTATTCCCCACATTATCACACTATTTGTCTAACTTCTAAAAGTGACTTTTCTTGAAACTGAGTTTTTCTGGTTGAAGAGTTATGATTCAGGCTCATTTATTACTTAGTAATCTGTGATGTATTTATCTACACAGTTACTTCCAGAGATTTCAGTGGGAAAAAAATGGGCTGAAACTGTAATGCTCAAGATTTTTGCTCTTAGGATTCACTTTCATCAGTTTGTAGCTAGATAAAAAGAAGCTTTATTCATTTTAGAACTAAAATTAGTAACTGCTTTGCATTCAGAACATCCTTGAACGTGTTTATACATGACCCTTAGCAGTTTGAATGTGGCTACCATTCAAAACAGAAGGAAATAAAAGGTCTAGTTTACTCACGTGTTTTATGATACCATCTTCTATCCACTGGTGGACTGGGGAAGGAGAAGGAAAGGAAGTGGGAGAGAGAGAAGGAGAGATAGAGATCTTTAAAAAGTTGTTTTTCATGTTTACTGAACAATTACTGAGGTCTGCTGCTATGCCAGACAATTCATTTTTTTCTAACTATAATCTTATAAAATGGAAATTGTCATCATCATCATCATCATTTAAAGTTGGAAAAAATAAGTTTCAGAATGTTGAGCTGAGCTGTCCAAGGTCATGGAGCTGGTAAGTAACAGAGCTAAAATTTAATTCCGGATACCCAACCCATCTCCATATGATTTCTCATGCTTGAAGTGAGTATTGTAGAGAAGAGAGTGACTGGCTTTACTTGTAGCTTCTAGCTTTAAATACTATACTACTAAAATATTCACTGAAATTAGAGAGTTCTTATTAATAGGTGTCTTTAACTGCTGTTTGATAAATACCCGATAACCCTTACAGAGACTCCCACGTGAGCCAAATTGTATTTTTGTTCTTTTCAGCCATCTGTTTTTAGAAACATGGCCTTCATCTTCCCTTTATCATTTTATCCTGCGTCTCTAAAAGAGATGGAGGTGATGACTCATGTCTGAGTCTTTTCAATGTCTGCAGTGGAAATACATGGCAGAATCTAATAGTCTGCTATAGGAAAATAGCCTTGTACATTAAAGTGACTTGGTTCCTTTCAGATATCGTCAAGTACATCCCATCCTGATGTTCCTACAAAGCAGTGTCAAGCATCAGCCTTGTTTCAGTTTGCAGAGGTAATCTTTTTTAGTGCTTATTGGGCTCAGAAATCTTGTTGATCTCAGCAAATACTGATAAAGAATTTTAATAATGTATGGTGAACTTTAGGTTTGCCTCTTGCATACAGAGTGTCTGTGTGGTTTTGTTGCCATTGTGGTAATCATAGTCAGATTAGCTCTTAGGTCTCATACCCATCTTACAAGTATTCATTGAGGAGTTTATTCAGAGTAGACACCAGTAATTCATTTATTTCATTTTACCTTGTTTTTTGTTTAAGAAACTTGTGAAAACTGTTGTTAACATGAAGGCCAGAGGACTACAGTTTATTAGATGTTTCCAGTAGTGAAATTAGATGCTGTAACGCATGAATAATTCTCTCAAAACAAATTAAGTGGTGAATATGACCTGTCAAACTATCATCACTTAGCTTTTGATACGATATAGCAATGTCCAGCAGTTTTATTAATGTTAAATCCCAATTAGATTGGGTTAGTTCTCTCAGGATCCCAAATTTTTTTGGTTTGTCAGCCAGAAAGCACACAACAGAGATTATTTCCTTGGTTGATATGCTAAGGAGGCAAATCTGATAGTCTCAGTTTTGCTGTGGAAGCCTGGTCCTCAAACACACGCTCATTCCTACTGAGCATTATATGACAAATAATAAAATGTGTGCAGTTCATGAAAATGAGATATTGCCTGCTTTGGGTCTTTTTACTTTTCAGATCTTTCTTTTTTATTAATTCCAGCAAAAAAAAAACATATTAGAAACTAAGCAATATTTTATAGAGTTGAGAGAAGATGACAAGTAGAATTGTTCTGTTTAATATTGATGTATTGAATCACTTTGTTACATTTGAATCATCAGTGCTGCATAGGTGAAATGTAAAATGATATCTTTTTGGCACAGAAAACCTGGCCTTTTACTTTGAAAATGAGAAAAAATATTTTTAGTTCTTATCTTTTTAAGAAAATGCTTTTTCTTCTTAGAATACTGTCAATGCTGCGATTGTGTAGTATCATTTGGCCTGCTTATGTATTAGGCTTCTTTGCAAGTTTTGGGTTTAGCTACTGTGGTCTATTGTATAAAATTGGTAACAAAAGTACATGTTATCATTCATAAAGAACAATTTGCTTGATGAATCTGAATGCATTAAGATTTTATTATAATTTTTCTATGCTGATAAACAGGCTGCACTTTCCAGGGAAATAGCACTTTCTTGCTCTTCTCTAGTTGCTAACACTCATTTATTGATGCTACCAAGTTTTCCAAGAGTTAAAAAAGAATTTGGGCATGTTGACTAAATTCATTTTTAATGTTGATATCTGAATCATTCCCATCCAGCTTGTCAGAACATTTCATTCACAACAGTATTTTTTTTGCCATATATTCTGTTTGATAAAAAATTCTTTATTCTGTAATGTGAACGTAGAAAGGTGTAGTACTTTATCTTCAACATCCCTGATATTTGCATATTTATTGGCTACCAAAAGTATTCAACTTAGTATGAAATGTCATCATAGAATATCTCAGCTGGTGTTGATGTGTGCCTGACAGCATGATTGTTACTTAAAAGATAATGTCAACAGACTCCTTAGGAGCTCTTGAAGCTGTAGGGCAGCTCTGAGGGACCTGGGGATGGATGGTATAACTTCTAAGATGTAATTCTCCAGAATGAGATCCTAAACAAAGTAATCTGTTCTTGATGCTCATCTGTCCTCTACTCAGATAGTGAGAAGATTTGGTCCTCAATTCTTAATTTGACTTAGTGTTTTTTCAACCTGCTCAATAGCACATGCCTTGGAAGGCTTTTGATTTTGACATGAAGTGTATATAGAAGTTAAAGAAGCTTAAAATTGTTCATTTAAACCTTGGGAAGACATTTAGCCATACCTTCTCTTGAGAAAATTGGTGTGTGTCTGTGTGTGTGTGTCTGTGTGTGTGTGTCTGTGTGTGTGTCTGTGTCTGTGTATCTGTGTGTGTGTTTAACAAGAGACAGTGAAAATTAAAAAAAAAAAAAGCCCTGGACATTTCTTTGTGTTTTTTTTTTTTTTTCTTTCACATCAAATCCTAAGGTTCCACTTTGAAAGCTGAAAAGGTAGTTTCTTTCCTAACCAAATCTTATGATTTAAGCCTATTGAAATTAATTTACAGTTAACAACAAACCTCAGTGAAGCACGTTTCATTTAAAAGTTCTTTAGTGGATATTTACATTAAAGGAAAAAAATAATATTTGAGTTTAAAAAGTTCTAGAGAGGGCAGAGATTGCCTCCCCTTATTTCAGCCTGCTTCTCATTCCACATCAGTGGTATTCGTATTTCATCAAGATTTCACTTGACCCATCTGATTTGCTTCTAGCAGGGAGCTGTTGTTTTCCATTATTTAACAGGTCTAAAAGTCATGATTAATCCATACATTTTCTTCTCTGCTATATGAGTGACTCTTAAGCCTACAGTTTATCTTTGCATTGAAAAATTACATATCTGCTTGAAAAAGAGCTAATCTAGATGATTTAGACAAAAATTTGGACATTAATACTTTGCCACGGTAAGTAGAGGCTATCAAACAGTAGATCCAAATTTAAAGCACTCACTTTATGATGGAATACCCAGTATGTTATAGAATATTACATTTGATAGAAAGCACCATACACTACACTGCAGTTAATCAGTGAACATTATTACGTGTTTTTTCAGAAGTGTTAATATTTCTTTTAAAGTAAGAAAGACCAATCATCTTCATATTGTTCATTTGTTCTTTGATTTATTCATTTATTCCACAGTTGTCATTTTTCCCCCTAGCTCCAGTGTTTATAATATCACCTCATAATTGCAAAAGATTGATTTACCGAATTTTATTTTCTGATCTTTACCACCTATTTCCTTGGTCTACTCATTTACCTAAGACAGCTATAAAATGAATAATTTAATATCCTGGTTGATCATTTTTCTTACTATCAAAGGCATCATTATGAGTGAAATTTCTGAGAAAAAATTTATAACATAGAAAAAAAATTTATAACATAGAGAAAGCCCTAATACAAAACCCTAAGGAAAACATTTAAAGGATCACTGTAAGATGAGCCAGTAAGGAGGGGCCTGAGAGGTAACACTCCACAGTACAAGAAGTTTTCCAAAATAGTGATTAGCATAATAGATTCAGCCATTGAAATGAACATGTTCAGTTTTCCACCAAAACTTCTCCCAAAAATTAAGTTAAAAGATACATTTTTAGAAAACATATCTCACCAATAAGTCTTCTCATGAAAATTTTTCTTTTGAAAATTAAAAAAAATCCTCAGTATAGCTAAGTCTTTCAGTTTCTATAGATGGCTAAATTTTATAATTGGACTAAAAAGTTTATTAGTACTAATGGGTACATCATTAGTACTGATAATTATACCATGTATTGAGAATATTATATGACATTAGTTATGCTGCTTATTAACAAAGTGTAATCTTCACAATGTAATACTTCATTCCATAAGTCACTAAGAGTCAATGATACTAAAGTATTGCTTTCTCTATAGTCTAAAGAAAAATCAAATACTTGAAAAATGTAAAAGGAGTTTACTTATCTAGCATTTACAAGGCACCAACACTGAAATAGGCCTCATAATTTCCTTAAACTGTCCCATTTTTAAAATGGTTGGAGAAACTTATAGAGTTCGTGTCTCTACAAAGGCCATTTTTGTAAGTATGGAGAATTCCATCTAGTGGTGAGTACTAACAGTCAGGTGACCCTCAGGTCAGGACTGTAAGGAAGGGTACAGTCACCAGGCACAGTTCCCTGCTAAACAGAATTGAGAAATAGCTCTATCTAAACTGATTCAGAATCTCAAAGATATAAAATAGAGCATGACTAGCTACTCTAATGATGACAGTTTCTCCAGGGGAAGAATGCTGTGTAACTGTCCTTATTAGTGGATGTCCTTTTCAGCTCTCACTGAGGCTAGAAATGGAAAGCAAAATTTTCATGTGTAAACAAGAAAGAGCAGTACTGTTCATTTTTATCAGTGCCCAAACACTATTTAGCCAATGTTGTAGAAAAACAGGTCGTCAGTATAATTTTATGTATATGCTGATATTCCCAACATAATATAGGTTCTTAACTGACTACCTTAAATTTGTGGTCTTGCTTGTCAGTTTTGAATATATTTTAGGGCATTCTCTCAAACCAGGGTCAGTATTTTATAGAAAACTCTTGAATTCCTTCCAATCCCTATCTTACTGCCTAACCACATGTTATATTTTCAAAAGCAAAAAAAAAAAAAAAAAAAGTTGACTGTTAGTGCTTTCCTTCCTCAGAGATCCCAAATACTTGCTTAGGGGTTGGTAAATTCAGAATGGTTTTCAATCTCTGATATTTGGTTAGTACTTAAGCAGAAATAAGATCCATGCTGGAGGTTATAGAGTTAAATCTAAAGCCTTTTACCTGTAAGATAATACTTGTGTCATTAACTATCCACCCAACCCACACTTATATTTTGGTATTACTTTTGAGCTACTGTAAATGGTTCTCCAAATGATCATTCAGAATTGACATGTTTAAAGTTACTAGGTACATGGGAGCGATGATATTCCCATAAAGGAAGAAAATACCTCAGTCTGCATGAATGGAAAACAAAAGATTCCAGTGTCACAATTAATATTCTTTATGTAAATTGTTTCTCAATAGATCTCCTCACACACTTCCCAGTTGGGTGGCACTGAGTCTGTGAAACGCTGTGGGAAGTCTGCGCTCTTTCAACTGGCAGAGGCAAGTTAAAAAGAACACATTGAGATGAGATCTGCAAAGAAATCTCAAAGTCACGCTAGCAGTGTTCTTTAAGCTACACCGTCTTTACTTGTGATCACAAAATGAGTTATAGCTAATTTTCAATGGTGAACACCTTGACTTTGAATTTTGAAAAAAGGAATGTTGCTGTTGAAAGTCATTAAGCATTTACAAAGGTTACAAGGGGATTATACAAAGCCTTTCTTTCTCACAGGTAATAATTTAAAATAGTGTTAGTTTATTCTTTCTTTGATTGTTGTTGTTTTCTCAAATGAGAGTCCAATGTGAGAGAGAAAAAGAGACTTGGTTATTTTCTTCTAATTCCTTAAAAGATACTACTTTTTAAGTTAGACTTTTAATCTTTTGCAGTGGGTTGGGGAGTTAGTAAAGAACTCATACTGCTTGTTCAGACCTCTGAGTTGTTAACATCTGTCACTTACACTTTTGATATGATGTGTGTATAAAATGCTATTCTTTTGGCAAAGTAGAAAATATAATTTCGTAAAGACTTTAAAGGACTGAGTCCTCACTTGAGGTTAAGATAGGGAAGAATGTGCCGGAACAGGGGCTTTCTCTACCAGGCTATGATCACTGCTTCAAAGAAGCAAGTGAGAGAAATTTCCTGGGCATCAGGTTACTATTGATGCAGTTTTCTTAGTTGGTGTGAAATTAGGAATTACAAAATGAATGATCAAAAACATTAACTGTTTCCTTTCATTTTTCTGTTTTTTTCTTAAATGAGCTTCTTCTGAGTTCTTTTGTGGATAATATTGTTCTTTTATCAATTCTTGGCAATTATTGAATTTCTTAAAAATATGCTTATTTTTTCAGTGTTGGTGCTTTGTCCATGCTAGACAAGGGCTTCTTACTTCTGAGTTCATGGAACTTCACCCCAGCCTTGTAATTTATTGACTTTTAGATTTGAAAGTAGTTTATATTATAAATACTTGGGAGTTGGAAATAGCTAATATCCTTAAATTAGCCTTTCAAAGCCTAGCGAGATCCATGTAAAATGGAGGGCTGAAATACTTTTGACATATTCTTGTGTAAGTCAAATTCAGATCCAAATGGAAGACTGTGAGTGACAGGAAAACTCCAAGAAAAACTTAGAAAACTGGTGAATCTGTGTAAAGTATTACTTCAGTTACAACTACAAGTGAGAAGAGTGTTGGGCTGGAAGCATAATTTAGTGGTAGGGTATTTCGAATAAGAGCAAGGTCCTGTATTCAAGTCTCCAGTATCTCAGAAAGAACTGAGAATCTGATGGGAGCACTTCTGGAATTAGGCTTGAAAAGGAATCTTAGTAAAGAGACTATGAGTTTTTTAATATGTAGAGTATCAGGACTATTTGAAAAAGAAAAGTAGCTTTATTTTTGGAATAATATAGATTTATGGGCCATCTGCTTTTTCTGAATATATTGTGAATGTATATGTATGCCTAAGCCACATATATACAAATAAAATATTAAACAACATTAAATTATAAAATTTTCTGAGTATATGACTAATCTTCTAATTAAACTTTTTTTGGTTATATACATATGAGCCTTTGGGATATTTTTCCATTAAGGGCTGGAGTGCTAGAGAGTAAATTTGTTCTGCTCTTTTTTTCCAGTCACTGAAAAAAAACATTTTGAATTAAATCAGAGCTCATTAAAACAAGCATTCTTCTAATTTGTAGGGATGCATCCCAAATACGAAACAGATGCTATGGTTTAACAGATGTTTGAATGTTCATATCACAATTTAAAGGGGTAAAATGTCTGAAATAAGCCTATTCCAATCATAGCAAATCAGCTTAGACTCATACTTACTTTCTTAAAACATTTGAGTAAAAATACATACTTTGATAAAATAAGGATGTTAAAAAATAATTTGTCAAGAAAATCTTCTTACATTATTTGTACCATGTAAATATGATACCATAATTCTACTACAGTGTTTTAGAATAATATCCTAAAGCCTTCCTAGTTTCTAATTAAATATAAAATGTGCACAATGGATTAATCAGAATAGCCAAATAATCACCAGTAGATAAAATGTTTCCCTCATTTTTATCCCATGAATGTTTGGTGCTCACTCTTTAACAAAGCAGAGTATCTAATTATTCCTGGTGCCTCTTCAAAGAATAAGTATAACAAGATATTGAGGAGGATTTTACTGATTCTTAGAACTGGTGGTGGTGGTGTTTCAAATTTGAAGAGACAGCTTTAAATTTACGTATTTTGAGAAGAAAACTACCAAGAAATTACTTCTGAGTTGGACTGAGCCCTTCTCTTTCATTTTATAATTTATTATTCCCAATACCTCAAGAAAGCCTCTCATTAGCTCTTTAAACTAAGTTATTCTAAGAATAGGGGATGTCATGGGCCATCCAGACAACTTGCCTTCTCTTTGTCTCGTATGTGAAAGCATCATTTACCCCTTTCTATCTAGGACAGTGCAGGCAGCTTCACTGTTGAAAATTGTGGAAGGGGAATGAGAGAAGTATCTTTTTGTGCCTTGATCCAAAGCAGGAAGAACTCTGCTACCTACTTGGATTTTGACATTGTAAAGACATGTATTTTCCAAAGTCCAAGTGATATATCAGAAAGTACCTTAGTGGCTAGGTGCCAGTAGCTCATACACATAAACCTAGCTACTCAGCAGGCTGAGATCTGGAGGATTGTGGTTCAAAGCAGTCCAGGAAGAAAAGTCTCTGGGACTTCCATCTCCAAAATAATAACCAGCAGAAAGGGCAGAAAGAGGGGATGCGAGGGAAGGAATTAGTTTGATCCATTAGAGGCCAATGGACAGTAAGACAATAATGCAATAATAAGGATTGGCAGAGGGCAGATCTGGAACTGTTACGTCAGGGAAATATAATCAGAATGCCTTTCAGAAGACTCTCTGAAGTATTCCCACAAGCAGGAGTAGCATTTATCTGGTTTATACCAGTACAACCATCTTACTAAAACATCAAAATACTTCCTGCTGTTAGTAACTTAACTCCATGAATACCTTTGCAGAAACTCTACCATCATTCCCAAGCTGTCCTTATCCTATAGGATCCTGTTCCTGAGGCTATATACTTTCTGGTCAGTTGCGCACCCCCCCCACCCCAATGCCTATGCATTAAGTATGTTGAATTCCACTTCTGCCAGTCATTATAGAGAAAGTCTTTTGTAGAGAAATCAATGAAAACAGGAAGTCATAACTCATGGGAAGCTAGTTTTACCTCTGTCATCTGTCATCTTCTTCTGTATCTAAAACAGTATTTTAATTTTATGAAGGTCCAGGAGCCAGCCTCAAAACTAAGTACTATCCCTTTCCCAAATCTATCACATGGACTACAGTAGAAGAAGTAAGTGAGCAAATTTCCCTAAGTTAGGAATATTGCTTTATAGCAAGCAAACATCTTCTCCTTGGCAAGAAGCAAATAATATCTTAGACATCATTTATTGCTATGTACTGCACCTCAGATGAGCAGGAAAAAAAATTGGAGGTAGTTTACGTAGGCACAGAGAGACCTGGATTAACCTACACTCTCAGTTTGCTGTTGTAAAGGTTCCTCTCCTTTCCCCATGGCTTTGGAGCTGGGAGACGCTCCAAGGAAAACCCTTGTTTGGGTATATAACTGATATTTTAATGAATTATTAATGCATAAAAATCAACTAAAATCCTGTGATATGTAGGTGTTTAAGGCATCCATCCACACCAAGAGTGGAGATTTCTGTTGAGGTCAGAGAATTGAGAACAGTACAGCCCTTTTTGCTGTAACTTTTATAAAGTCTGTTAATTTCTACAAGTACTATAATGGATTGTTTAATCAGGTCAAAACATTGAAATAATAGTAAAACATCTTCCCTGGGATAATCATTGAATATTATAATTGCTATAGTTGGAGAACTGTGAAGACAGTTATCAAATATTTTAGCAAAAGTCTGTATAGTAGACCCTTGGTATAGGATTCCAAGGAGATTGCCACTGAGGGTAGGGGGGAACCCACAAATGTTCAAGATGTAGAGATGCTATACAATACTATATTTGTGGATACTTGATTCATTTTTCCAGTAATACCACTCAGTTTCCATGAAAGTAACAGTACTTTTCAACAAATAAAATTTCCACTATAGCACTTAAATTAATTTTGTGGCCCTTTTAGCTTGTGTTACTCTATACTTTTATATTGATTTAGGGGTACCATTTGCTTTTGGGTAAGATATTTTTACAGAATTTAGGACAACTGACAGTAATATAGAGCTGACTGAGAGTTCCTTGTCAACTGAGCTTTTTTGTTGTTGGAATTTCTTTTGATTTTCTTTATTTTTGATCATGCTCGGTCAAAATCTGTAATAAACCACAAATAAGATGGACTTATTTTATTTGAAAACCTCTAGTACCAACATTATCTAATTAACAATTTGAACAAACTTATTGATAATTGTATCACACTGTGATTTTTGCCAGTCTACTTTCATGGTAGCAGCAGTAGGGCTGCTGGAATTACCTACAGATATATGTAAACATACTTTTAGAACAGTGAGAAAGAACTAAAACTTGTAAACGTAAGATCAGATTTAGGGACTCTTTCAGGTATAGCCTTAGTATTTTGGAATATGATGAGGGACTGATAAAATAATTTTAAATATTCTTTAAAATAGGTAAAAAAATTATGGAAGTTTTTTTTCTACAAGTAAGTCTTATTTAACTGAAGACGATAATGATATACATTTATTATCTGCTGTGTATTTGGTATCATTTTAAGTACTTTATATGTATTAATTTAATTCTCAGAACTGTCCTTAGAAGTGGGTACTACTTTCATCCCTCTTTAACATATTAGGAAATCAGAGAATGTTGCTTAAGATAATAAGGAGTGTTAAGTAATAGAGCCTTGTCAAGAACTGTCTCCGTGGACTATGCTCTTTAAACTATATGCTATTTTTTTTGGCCTGTTTTTCCTTCCTTCCTTCCTTCCTTCCTTCCTTCCTTCCTTCCTT